GACTAGGGATACCCTTACCCAGGACAGCTCTCTTCAGTCACCTGTAGATAAACCCATACGTGTGCACAGGGCTGCCTGCACATGTGGGCTCACACAAATTATCTGCTCCAAAATGTCCATAGTACCAAGAGTTCTAGAGCGAGGCCCACTCACCAGGACCCTACTTCAGGGCCATCTACCCAGTGTCCCTCTGCAGAGGATTATTCAGAGCCCCAACTTCCCCAGATTCCAGTATGTAGAGGCAAGCTAGTATGAGGGGGCTTAAGAAAGTTTGTGGAAAAATGGAAATACAAGATAATGGGATTTTTCGATAAACTTTTTGAAGCTCCCCTCCTATCTGCAATCTGATCTAAACTCCTGGCCTGAAGTCCCTGAGTTCTGGCTGCACTGCCCTAAGCTCCCCAGCAGGGGACTGAATGCATACGCACTCAGATGTTGCAGACCTCAGGGGGCAGCTTCCTGGAGAAAGAAGAGACCTGGGCTGGATAAGATTACAAAAGGCAGAAAGGAGAGGATGTGTCTAGTGACCAAAATAGGGTAAGTAAGGTGGGACAAAGTCTAGTGGACTTCCCCGTAACAAGATGCCTCTTAGAATTGATGCAAAGGGCATGGTCAGAACTTCAAGGAGTCCAATCCAGCGGCCAACACGTCCTCTGTATCAGTGCAAAACAGTGAACCTACACACATAATGCACACACACCAAAAACGCACACATACATGCTAATTTGTATTTTTCTGGGGAAAGGGCCCGCAGTTTCCATCACATTCTCAAAGGAGCCTGTGACACAAAGAACCATCAGAGTGTAAGATGGGGACTCCACACTGGGTTCCATGTAAAGGAAGTTCAGGAGATAAAATGCCAGGGCAGTACACCACAGAACCCACCCAAGCTGTGGGCAGCCACGAGGTTCTGGGTCTGACATTTTCTCTGAGATTCGAATGCCTTTACCTAGGCTGGTAATGGTGGAGTCCGATGTGGGGTTGTGGGTTAATGCACTGGACTATAAGGTCATCTGTTCAAGCTCACCTGTCGCTCCTTGGAAACCATAAGGTCACTGTGGGTCGGAACCAACTCAACTGCACTTAACAACAACAGCAGGGTAATGAGTTTTGGTTCTGTCGTCGGTACTGACTCAATGGTACCTAACAACAACAAGGGTAAAGACGATGGGCAAGGCTCTCACATCATCTGCCCTTGGGGAGGGCCTCAGAGGGCTGGGATTAGTGCTCACTACCCCCTACCTGGCACTGTGGGTTAATGCACCAGACTGCAAAGCCGGTTGAACTGCAAGGCCAGCAGTTCAAGCTCACCAGTCGCTCCTCAGAAACCCTGTATAGGGTCGCTATGGGTCAGATCTGACTCGACGGCACTTAATGACAACAATAACAACCCCGTATAGGCAGCCCAGCCAGTCAGCACAGAGCCCAGAATGCCCAGCAGGTCAAAGAGCAGGAAGCAGAGAATATTCCCTCCAGGGAGAGGGACACTGACAGTCCATGGCTCTGTGGTCCATGTCCTTGTCAGCTACCATTCCACTGGATCTAAGGAATGAGAGGGTCACTCTGTTCATTCAAGCACACCCTCCTCCCCTGAGGAAATGGACAAGAAACATCTTTGGGTCAGAAAATGGTCAGCCTATGAGGACAGCTCAAGGCAGCTAGGGCCTGTACTTCCTGACGAGATGGGTCCTCCTTCCCAACCAGTGGCTCCTCAGACACTGCACTGAGAACATACAGGCTCCCAATCTCAACCCTACATCAGGAGCACCTGTGGGAAATACAGACAATTAGGGAAACCCATAGTAATGGCGAGAATCAAATGACTTGTCCCCCAAGGACACCTGGCCAGGCACAGACCAAGAAAGACTTACAGAACTAACTAAAGACTGATGTTATGTCAAGCACCATGTGCCACAGCAGTTGTTCAGTACCATCAAGTTAGCTGATTCCTAGCGACCCTGTATAGGGCTTCCAAAGAGCGATCGGTGGGTTTGAATCACCAATCTTATGATTAGCAGTCCAGTGCTTATCCTACAGAGCCACAGCAGGACTATTATAACATACATCCTGTCTTTTATTCGAGGTCTGCACTGTTGAGTATAGCAACCACAGATAAATGTGACTACTGAGTACTTAAAATGTGGAGAAACTGAAATCAAGTGTATAAAACACACATACTGGACTTGAAGACAAGAATGTAAATTATCTCAATTATTGTCAGTATTTCTTACATGTTGAAATGATTATTTTGTATACATTGTTGTTAAGTGTCATTGAGTCAGTTCTGACTCACAGTGACCCTGTATAGGGTTTCCAAGCTAAGGCTGATAGGATTGAACCACCAACAGTTACTAGTCCAGTGCTTACCCTACAGCGCCTATTTGTTGTTGTTGCTGTTAAGCACCATTGAATGGATTCTTATAGCAGTCCTGTATAGGATTTCTGAGGCTTTAAGTCTTTTCAGGCGCTGAAAGCCTCATCTTTCTCCTGCTGGGCAGCTGGTGGGCTTGAACCACCAACCTTGTGGTTCACAGTCCAGTGTTTACCCTATTAATAAACAGCATGCTCTCTTCTATAAATATATTGTGGTTTAGTGCCTCGAGTAGGTTCTGGCTCATAAAGATCCTGTATAGAACTTCCCAGGAGCAGCTGGTGGCTTTGAACTGCCAACCTTACAGTTGGCAATCCACTGCTTATCCTATGATTAGCAGTCTAGCGCTATCCTTCAACACTACACCTAGAATAAGTAAAATATATTAATTTCACCTGCTTCTCTTTCTTTTTATTAAGACTGAGAAGCATCAAGTGGGGGTGGGGGGCAATACCAAACAGCAGGTTAGGAGCTTGAAAGGTTATCCCTAAGACAAAGGAACAAGAGGATACGTGCTTCGCTTCGCACAGCAATTCCCTGTCAGGGCAGTAGCCACCAGAGGTGGTCTATGTTGTTGTTGTTGTTGTTAAGTGCCTTCGAGTCGGAGCCGACCCATAGCGACCCTGTACAGGGTTTCCGAGGGTGTAAATCCTTACGGGAGTAGAAAGCCTCATCTTTCTCCCGCGGAGCGGCTGGTAGTTTCGAACCACTGACCTTAAGGTTCGCAGCCCGATTCATAACCACTACGCTACCAGAGGTCCTTTAGAGGTGGTCTATACCACCTGGTATATATAACAAGAAACACCCAACAACTTCCACCATCCTCCCAGGGCAGGAGTCTTGATAGCTGGGTTAAGTCTGATGGGTGAGGAGAGCAGCGAGCTGGCACAGCCTGGCAAGCAAGCACTGCCCACGGGAGAGAAATGCAGTCCTGGGAAGAACCCAGGTTTGTCCAGGGATCAGATGCTCAGGGGGATGTAGAGACAGACAGATGGGTTTCTACAGCCTAGTAAATCAGATAGCTGTTAGCCTACCCTCCGCAGACCACTGGCTTCCCTTTCACTTCGGAGTCCTGCTCCACACACTTCGTTAAAGCATCTTAAAATAGTGGACTCACAGGAACCCCAAAAGCAACACTTAACAAGCAAGAGGATCCAGATAGAGGAACCAACTCTGTTAAGACCATCACTGTGCCTATACCACACACACTACAAGCCCCAAGTAAGACGCAAGGTACCTTCCCACCAGGTGTCCAGGTACGGATGGGGGGGGGGGGGGGGTGTCTGGCCTCTAGTTCTTGTAACTGAAGCTGTGCAGCTCCCATTCCCCAAAAAACATTACTCCCTTAGTGTAGATAGCTGAGTCACTCAACTTCGCACAGGAGGGCGAGAGCAGAGTGGGGATTGAGTGGTGATCACCAACGCCACCCCTTTAGCAGCGCGCGCGCACGCCTGTGTGTGGAGGGGGGAATCCCAGCCTTGCCCCTACAGGATGGGCCCCACCCCTCGCGGGTTTCCCAGACTCTGGGTTGCTGCTGCTGCCACCGAGGAGGTAGGGACCCGCGCTGCATGTGTAATGGGGGCTGGGAACAAAGACGCGCGGGACCGGGAGACCCGGACGGCACTCCGGAGCATCTTCCTTTCTCCATGCTTCCCAGGGCTGTCCTGAGTCAGCCAAAACAGTCCCCAGTGCGCCCTTCCTAGCTGGCTGCGCCCTGGAACTGCTGAGGGAGAGAAATTGATGTATGGAACTTAAGAGGAAAAACGCTTTCCTGGCGGAACTCCGTGTGGTTCGCATACGCATCGCCCAAACGCCCGCGCGCGCAGCCTAACACTAGTCCCAGGTACGAAGGCCAGAAGAGTGCATGCAGGTCTCCCATTCCTGCCACGTGCCTGCCCGAAGCCCAAACGAACTGGAACCTGTTGGTTTTTCTTCTCGCCCCACCCCCACCGCCCAAACAAAGCTTCCTCGCTGGACGGCCGCACCCCGCGTCCCAAGGACCGGCGCGGCCAGAGCCAGCGCAGGTGGGAGTCTGCAAGAACCACCCGCTGAGCCAGAAACACGACACAGACCAGGGTGGAGTGGAGTGGGGTGGGGTAGAGTGCGGGGAAACTCCTCCCGGCTATGCGAGGCCGCCCCCTTTGCTTCGCCGCCTCTCCTAGCTCCCAGGAGCGCACAGCCTTCTCCCCCAGCCGCTACTACACCTACAATTCCGCCACCCCCCGATTAGACCTGCCCACCCCGCTTGGCTGTCTTCCCTACTCTCCCGTTTTCCTCGCACTCACCCGGGCTTCCACGCGCCGGCGTAGCCTGAAACCCAACCCTGGTGTTCCGGGCCCCTATGGAGGGAGTCGGCTCCGACCGGTGCGCAGAGTTCCTCCGACCAGGTGGCACGGCCGCGATCCCGAGTCCCGTAGCCAGCCGCACGGAAAACATCGTACCACCAAGATACGCAAGCAGGGTCCCAGGTGCACCGCCAGCCCCCGCCCGGCTCTGGGAGGTGCGAGTTGGGTGCAGGTGGCGCAGCGAGGAGGCCCCAGGCCCGCTCTTTGTTGGTAAACACCGCGCGGCGCCCAGGACCGACCCTGCGCACCCTACCGGCGCCCCCTACGCTTCGCCCCGTCCTTACCCGCGCAGAGCGATCCCCAGAGGAGGGCGAGGGCCGCCCAGGGCGCCGTCATGTTCCGCGGCGCCGCCCCGCGGACGCCCGTAGCCCGCGGGCAGGGCCTCGCGGCGCTCCCGGGACGCGCAGGGCCCGGCGGTGGCGGTTGCGCTCGCCTTCCCGCTCCTTCCTTCGGTCTGGATCCCCGCGCGCTTCCTGCGTCTTCGTCCCGGGGCAGCGTGCAGGCTCCAAGGGCCGGGCGGCGGGGCCAGGCTCAGGGACGCTGCGGGCGGCTCAAGCTGCGGCCCGGGCTCCGGGACGATGTGGGGGCCGGGGGACGGCGGCGGGGCGCGGGCCGGGACGCACCCGGCTCAGGCATAGCGCGGCGGGGCTGGGCCCGGGCCCCGGGCGCAGGGGCCGAGTCCGGAGGGGCCATGAACGGGGGGAGGGGTAGGGGGGAGGGGAGCTGAACTGAGTCCAAAATGGCTCCTGAGCCGCGGCCGCGGAGCCGAGCCAGCAGGGAAACCCGGATGTTTGATACAAAGAGGCAGGCGGGCGGGCGGGCTAGGCGGGGAGGGGGAGGGGAGGCTGGCCCTCCGGCCGCGTGGTCCGCGCCCCCCCTTGGGGGCGGGGCCCCAGAGAAACAACAACACGGAGGCCCCGCCCCAGTCCGCACCCTCTCGAGGACGCGCGCGGATTTAGGGGCTGAAGGGCGGGGCCGGCGGGCAAAGGTGGCTGGAGTGGACCGCGGGCGACTGAGCCCAAGAATCTCTCTCATTTACTGCGCCCGTGATCCCTGCTCCCTGAGCTCGAGCCCACTCTACAAATGTACTCCTCCCAGAGTGGTAGACTGCCCCTTACCTTCAACTGGACTCCCCTTTGCGCCTCCGTTTCCCACCATTATATTGGGAAGTCACAAAGAACCGTATTTTTCTTGATGGACAAATTTATTGGCAGAAAGAGATTTCTTCGCTATGCCAAGTGACTCGCATGTCTGTAGTCCCACCCCACACACAAAAGGACATAGCTGGGATTCTGGAACATGCTGATGTGGACCTATCCAAGTAATAGAGAACGCTGAGGCAGATCCTCAGCCTCTGGCAACCTATTTCCCTATCTTTACCCCAAATGGTCCTCAGCACTCCCCGCTACTTCAATCTGCACATTCAAAACTGCTCCCCAGGTCCCAGCACTTGAAGGTCTAGCGAATGGGAGTAATGCCTCTCTCTTTACATCCTAGGTTCCTCTTTGGATCGGGGGTCCTCTCAGATTCTGCCTAACTTCTCACACACCTAACCTCAGAGAACTAATCCTCCCAGCTAGAAAGAGACAAGCCATCACAGCTCTAGGTTGATGCAGTGGAATCCTCAGATACTGTAATTGCCCTGCTTTCTTCACTTGCCACAGACTTGCGCGGAACAGGGCAAGAGCAACCCGAGGGAGGTGGCATCCAGAAGTCTAACTTATTTCACATCTCTGAGTCTTTATTTGCTCGTATGAAAAGTCAAGAAGATAGGTTCCATCAGTGCTTTGCATTGTTTATGACAGAAAGTTTGTTCAAAAAATATATTATGTGAAAATATCACCAGATGCAACATATATTACCCTGATTTAAGTTAAAACAAGGATCCTCCTCATCTCCAAAGCTTCAGGGCCACCTTAGGAACCACACTTTGGAGTCACTATGAAAGAAGATTTATGGGAAATTCTATGTCAAAAAGGACGATCCTCTCATGATTTGTTTTATGGTGATTGGGGTCTTAAAAGGTTGCACTTAAGGCACAACAATGACCTCTATTCACCGGGAGCAACCGAAGAGGAAGAGTCCAGGAAATGGAATGTGTAGCTACTTGCTTCCATGAACAATTTCCTCCTTGACTATGAAAACATAAGAACTAGATGGTGCCTGGCTACCATTAATGAACATTTTGATGAAAAATTCTATGGAAGAATCCTGACCAAAAGGGAGAGAATACACAGCAGAGTTACAAAATCTCATGGAATCCAGCATTTCTGAAATTATGGAGGCTGGATGAACTTCTTAAACTGTTGCCCTGAGATCATCCTTAAACCTTGCACCTTTAATCAAAAATATCCCCCTGAAGTTTTCTTAAAATCAAACAATTTATCTTAACCAGTAAAGAAATCAGCCTTGAGCACTGTGCTCTTTTAATGCCTATTTATACAGGATCAAATTAACAACAGGAACTCAGAGGCTCAAATAGGAACCTTAAGAGACAGTGAGTTTATATTAATGAAGAGGAACAACACTGAACAGCAGTATCTTAGGGTTGATTTCCTAGAAAAGCAAAACCAGTGAAGCTTATACATTACATATATATATAGAGAGAGAGAGGTTTTTCTTAAGGAAATAGTTCACACAGTTGAGGAGACTGGCAACTTCCAAGTCTGTGGGTCAGATGTCAGGCTGAAAGCTTCTGACTCACATAACTCTAGGATCTGGTGAATTCAATCAACATCAGTAAGTCCAACTGCAGGCTTCAGGCTGCAAAGGCGAACAAATCCAGGTCAGCGGATAATCTGGCAGGTTACTGATGACTCCCAGGATTCGCAGGCAATAAATAAAGCAAGCAATCTTTGCCTATGTGTCCTATATAGTGGAAGCAGGCCTACCCCCAACGAAACTTACTTTTAATTAACTGGCTGCTCATAGCAGATCTCATCAGGGGGGATCTTAACTGCCAAACTACTGAGACTCCTGGTCCAGTCAAGTGGATGCAAACCGAAATTATCACAGTCCACACCTTGTCAACTTGGCACTTGTACATATCTCCTTGAACCATACATAATATCTAAATAAATATTACGTCATACTTGCGCCTAGCATGATATAACATACTTACAACTGAAAACATACTCTCCATTTGCATCTTATATTTTACAAGTGAACAAAAGAGAAACATTTGACGCACACATACATGGAAGAAAGTACTCATAACAATCATTGTCATCTTCTCTGCAACTGGTCACGAGGCCATAACTGGTATTTAGAACTACCTTCTTTCACCACCCATTTCATAGTCCCTTTGCCCTTAGCAAGCACCTTAGCTAGTCATAGATCTTTGTCTTGTGGGGTGACCCAAACCTTGATCCCTGAAAGATTCTAGGCCATTAGTACCTATGTAGGGATTGGGTTGCTATGGTTTACCATTGACTTTAACCTTAGGGCATGGTAGTACTAAGAGATGGCCTAATAAGAAAGCTCCTAGATTCCACACATATTCTCTGCCTCCATTATGTAATAGCAGTACAATTTTTCCTTGGAAATCAGGATTAATCACACTATCCAATACAGAAACTCCATTGTTTTGTCTGTTGATCCAGAGGCATTAAGAATCAAAGTGCCCAGGGGGTACCTTGATTCAATGGAATCAGCATTGTTTTTTCCAGGTGGGAGTATTCTTCCCTTCGGAACTAAAATCTTTGATGAAAAGACTATAGGGTCACCAGGACAGGAAGTAAAAATTTTATGAGTGGATCACGAGGAGTAATAATAATT